ATGTGCATGCATGTAGTTGTGTTTGTTACTTTTTAAAAAAATTAATAGTAGAAATGTACATACATAATTTAGTTTGATATCCTATAGATTTCATAAGCACGAGGAGATATAGCAAATATTTAGCCCTTTAATTCCAATTACAAGTAGGGATGGCAATAGGGCGGGGCGGTGCGGGTTGAGCTTAATCCGCCCCGCTCCGCATCACAACTCTTTTCATTTTCAACCCGCCCTACGCCGCCCCACATAATTTTTTAATAATTTTTTTTCTAGTTATGTTTGATACTAAAAATAAAATTCATAAAAATAAATTCATTTTTTCATTAAGTTGTATTAATTTAATAGGATAGTGACTTAAAATTTTAATTTTTAGAGCTCAATTGGGAAACATGTAAGAAATTGTATTCTTTTTTATTGAAACATTTTCATTTATTATCTTGAATATTTTAGTCGCTTTAATGAAAGGGAAAAAGGACGAATTTACCCCCGAACTTTGATAAATGGTACGTCTATGCCCTCCGTTATACTTTGGGTCCATCTCAGCCCCTGCCGTCCAATTATCGGTACACACATGCCCTTCTCACTAACGGCCCCCTCATCCTATACACGTGTCTTAATCCTAATCAACTACCCATTTGATCATTATTTTTAACCCATAAACTAACAACCCGCCCCATAAACCCATACCCACCCGATTCCCTCTAAAATATTCAATTAAAAGACCCAAATCTTCCGGGTCTCGTTCCTATCTCACAATTCCTCCTACTGTAATCTGTTTAGTCCATGGAAGAATTCTCTTCACTTCATCATCACCATCTTTCATTTTTTCCGTTACTTCTTTTTCAATCTCCATTAATTCTACACCAACTCTACTCATTTCTCCCTGTCAATTTTCAATTCAATCACTACAAAATCAAAAACACAAAAAAATTGAGAGTTGAAAAATGAGAATTGAGTGGAATTATTCAAATTTTGGAGGTAGAGATAGCCGAGATTTCTTCGCCGAATGTGGACTCTCTACCTCATCCTCGCCGGAACCAAATCCAGGACAGAATTTCGGCAACGCCGAAATGTTCAAGTCAAAATCACGGTGGCTGATTGTAGACCCCACGCCCTCCGACGTCGTAACTCCGACACTAGCGCTAACGCTACTATTAGCGTTACCACTGTCGTAATGACACCGTTTGTGTCCTCCCAAAGCTTGTCCAGTAGGAAAACACTTGTGGCAAATCGAACACTCCTGAGTCTTCCACTGTCGTTACCGTTACCGAAGCTAGTAGTTCCGGTAGCATTAGTAGTAGTAGAGGTAGTCGACTGATCATCTCCTCCGCCGCCACCGGCGACGAGTTTCCGATGACTAGCTTTATGTCCTCCGAAAGCTTGATAAGATCCAAATCCCTTACCATAAACCGAACACTTATACAACATCTTCTCCGACGACGCGTGGATTTTCATCACTGTCACCGGCGATGGTAGAGATCGTACCTGATTAACAGAGCCATCGCTCCGTGCAAGCATAATCAAACAAAGCGCCAAATATCCCTCTTCAGTCTGCTGGCGATCCATACTCCGTGGCCTCTTAGATCTCTTCCCTTTAGTCCAATTCTCAAGGTACCGAAGTTGCTACTGACCGTTGCTCTCAAATTGAAACGTCTGCAGATTTGAAGTACCAGTTGGAGAATTCAAAGCTTCAAGGGCCATCTCAATATCAATTTGATTGAATTATTCGTTTATAATGAGACCCGGAAGATTTGGGTATTTTAATTGAATATTTTAGAGGGAATCGGGTGGGTATGGGTTTATGGGGCGGGTTGTTAGTTTATGGGTTAAAAATAATGATCAAATGGGTAGTTGATTAGGATTAAGACACGTGTATAGGATGAGGGGGCCGTTAGTGAGAGGGGCATGTGTGTACCGATAATTGGACGGCAGGGGCTGAGATGGACCCAAAGTATAACGGAGGGCATAGACGTACCATTTATCAAAGTTCGGGGGTAAATTCGTCCTTTTTCCCTTAATGAAATTATCTTAATAAATAATGTTCTATCACTCTTATAACATGTAAAAAGTTAAAATTAAGTTTGAACCCACATAAAATCACATATACCCACAACCCGCCCCACCCCACATTAATTTTTAAAATACCCACTTCAACCAGCCCCGCATCCAACCCGCCCCGCCCCACATAGCCTTTAACCCACCCCACGCATCCACCCCGTCCCACCCCATTGCCATCCCTAATTACAAGTCTAACACAATTATCAAAACAAATTGGAAAACTTGTATAAATGTATCCTTCAGTCCTCTAGTTTATCAATATAGTTGTTCGGATGTATATTTTATGTATAAATATGTATATATGGATAGTGTAGTGTATGTATATTTCAACATAAAGTATACGTTATGTATACATATTTCTTGTTAATAAATTTTAAACATTTGATAAGAAATGAAAACTTTTTTTGTTATAGTATTGGCATTGATAAAATTTTGAGAGTCCTTTCGATTTTTATGTCTTTTAAATATTTTAAGTTGTTGAATATTATGATACAACATTTTAAAAGTAATAAAGAACATTTAATTTGAAATTTATAATTTAAAACACATTATATATATATATATATATATATATATATATATATATATATATATATATATATATATATTTATGTGGTTAAAAATCTATCTCAATAAATTTAATGTTAGATATAAACCACCGAGAAAAAAAATGAAAAACTCTAAAAATTGACTTCTAATAGTATCCTTTTTTTGTCACTTAAATCAACCATAAACCATAAATCTAATTAATCAATCTTGGATTTTATCATATGATGTTTCAATTTCATATATTCACTAGAAAAGGACCCCCACCCCCTACCCCACTAATGCACCCTTCTCTCCATTCTCTAACATGTTACCCACTAACTTGTACAAGTATTAATGCACATTAAATGGATCTTTTTGATTAACTTTTTTTTATTTCATGATATATAATGGCTATATCATTCTGGTTTCTCATTCGATATCCAGAATATATATTAATATCGATTCACATCATATAAAACTTATTTAAGGGTGAAATACTCTATACTAAAAAAAGTTTCATATTCAAGAATTGAACTCAGAATTTTTAAAAGTAAAGAGATTTTGTTTATCGTGCAACAATTCTTGATAGTAAATTTAATGAGTATGCTACTATTGGAAAACTTAGTATTGGATCTGAAAAATCTTGAATTTCAAAAGGAAAATCTTGGTGGAGTATATTTGTTGCTTGAATATTGGAACTTTTTGGTAATGATAGGATAGAAACACATGGTTTTGTTGTTAGACATTTTTTTTTTTAGTTATTATTAATAATATAATATATTTTTTGAAATAGGACAAGCAAATATTTGACATTACTCTAAGCACTATATAATTTAATTATACTTGACTCTTCATATAAGTAAAAGGGTCCATATTTAACACCTCACTTTCCCATGAAAACCACATCCCACCTCACTTTGCTTGGAGATATTGAAAGATTGAAACTAGTCTCAAAAGAAGATAATCCCCAACCCCATAAAAATAAAAAATAATAAAATAAATAAAAATAAGAGAAAAACAAATCAATTTCATAATTTCTTGAAAAAAGATGGTCCAATTCTCTTATTTTTTTATTCTTTCTAATTTTAGTTTTATGAAAAGTCATATTTTTCGATGAAAGTTTCTATCATGGGATGTATGATGGAAAGACTGATAAAAATAGGTGTGACGAATACAATTTCGACAAATTTTTATGAGTAGTCTTCTATCAATATGGACATATATGATTCTTGACGTGAAATGGTATCATAAAAAAAGATTGTTATCTCTTCTATTTTAATTTTTAAGTGGAAGAAAGTGACTTTAATAAAATCTATGTGACTTCGTCTGTTTCAATTTATGTTACGAAGTTTGAATAAATCATAAAGGTTAATACAGAGAATTGAAGTTGTTAAAAGATTGTGCTAACATATATTATGACTATTGAATTATAAAATTTTTGAAACTTGCGATTTTAATAGATTTCATAGCATTTATAGTATTGCCTACAGTGTTGTTAGTCTGTTCAACTACTCCAACTAGGAGAATTCTGCTGACATGTGTCAAAGTGGTAGACACCTGTCATATTATTTAAATTATGGACCCCATTTTAGCTGACTTGGCAAATCCAACCATGGACAAACATGTGTCACTAGTAATTAGGCATATACCCCATAGGTCCCAAATTTTCATATATTTGCAAAATGATCCTGATATTGATGGATTCAAAAGGGAAAATATAGAATGAGGTTTAATTATTCATGACATATTTAAATATTACAGAATCAGATCACTTATAAAATAGTTATACGTAGATTTCTATAATAAGCACATACTTAGTATTTTGTTATATCCTTTCTAGTGTGTATGGCATAGTTTAACTCAACATAATTTTTATTTTTTTAAAAGAAAACTTTTACAATCTGTAATTTTAAACATCTCTTAACATCTGTACGAATTAAGAGTTTCAAAACTAGAGCTGATAATACTTTTGAATATGTCATAACTTTTGCGTTACTATAAAATCTTCTCAATAAGGATAAAACAAAAAAACTTAAATCCAATTATTTTCAAATATATAAATATGTTATTTTTTTTAAAATTAAGCGAATTAATAAGAAAATACTGTACAAATAAATTATAAGAGTACAACTAATATGCTACATAACAAATTAAAGGTACAATTTTTCTTGCATTATCAAATATAAAATACTAACTCAAAAGTCTAAAAGGAATAGAAAAAGTAGAGGCATCTACAAAAAGAAAGCAAAAAAAGGTAAAACCCCCAAAAGCACAAAATAAATCATCATTTTTATCTAAAAAGGTAGAAAAAAATAAAATAAAAACTACACTTACAATTCATTGATAAAGAGACTTCTTTTCCCTTTTTCTATATTCTTTCCCTTCTTTCTCCTCCCAAAAAACCTCAAAAAATCATTTTTATCCATTATGAGAAATGCAATTAGATGTTTCATATCTTGTATTCTCCCATGTGGTGCACTTGATGTTATTAGAATTGTTCATTCTAATGGTAAAGTTGAGGAAATTAGTGATTCTCATATAAAAGCTTCACAAATTATGAAACTTTATCCCAAACACATATTAAAAAAACCAACATCTTCATATTCATCATCAAATGATCATCAACAAAATATTTCTACTACTCCAAAAATTGTTATTGTCCCTCCTGATGCTGAGCTACAACGCGGCAAAATTTACTTCCTTATGCCAATGCCATCATCGTGCTCATCCTCCTCCTCATCTTCTTCTTCTTCTACCCCTCGTGAAAAGTCAAGAACTCGTTCTAGATCATCCATGAGGAATAAGAAGAAGATGAGGCAAGTTACATCGGAGGGACATAAAAATGAGTATAATGCTAACCTATTAATTTCTGATGATGAATATCTAAGTGATATATTATCTGAAAAGGCGTCAACTCAAAGGGATAAAAGAAGAGGAAGAGTTAGAGTATGGAAACCTCATCTAGAAAGCATCTCTGAGATTGTTAGTGAATTATGATAAATTTGCGCACTTTACTTGTTATTTTTTTTTATATTAAAAAAAATGTTCAAATCAAATTTATCTTTATACTTAACAAAATATTTCAATTTTACATTTCGTTATACTTTAGGATCATCCATATTGCTTCGATTATTAGTTTGAGAATTTGTACTTGCTCTTAATTTTAACGAGGCTTAGGGGTATATTTTAGTGTCATGTTCTTTCGAAACAAAAATAATAATTAAATTTACAGTTTCACTTTTGACTATGGTATAAAAAATTACCTTTTTATATACTTTAGGTCGGAGTTCTATTTGGGTCAAGGGCGAATATGAAAATTTGTGCTTAAAACAAGGGTATGAATGCACCAAAAAGTGTAACGGAGAATAAAATTCAAATATTTTGTATAGTTAGAGGGATATTTATTTTTTCAATCTATTTTCTTTTGTCTTATATGTTTTTAAAATTAATTTCAAGAATATTCTTCCTCCATTAAGTAAGGTTCTAAAAAGAAGTTATTAGCTCTATGCCGAACCTTTGCTATTTATATTTCTTTTTTCGATCTTTTAATTTTATTTTATTTTTAATATAGCGTAGAAAGAAAAACAATAATGTGCTAAGAAGTTGTGCAAATAGTTTTGAATTTTGTGCATAATATTATTTTTACTTCTATTGGAAAAAATTATAGTGATCAGAACTATTTCTTCTTTTTAATTTTCATTTGACTTTTCTCATCATTATTTTGTTAAAATACACTCTTTTTATTTCAATTTATGACACTGTATGAATTTTAAGAATGAAACTTGACCGTAAATTTGAACATGTAATTTTCTAAGTTTTTTTAAAAATAAAATTTATATATTTAAAAATTATGCAAAAAGTACAGTAACTTGTAAGTCATAATTATTAACCATTCAAAAGCTTATGAAAAAATCACTATTAAAGAAAAAATTGTTTCTCTTTTAAAATTCGAAAGATATATATCAGATTAATTGAGACAACAATATTTTAGTTGGTGTGAATTGAATGAGATTGAAGTGATGGTCATGTGATCAAAGTACAATAAATTAAATATCAATATCTTAGAAATGATTTTGTTTGGGAAAAATAATAGTAATAATTTTTTTTAACAAAAGTTATCAATTTGCTTATTTCCAGGCTCTAGTTCCCCTCTTCTGTCGGCATGATGTTGAAATCTGATTTTCTTCTAAAATTAAAGTAGTTTTTTTTTCTTCTTTCCAACTTTTATTAATTTTAAATTAATAAAGAATATATCTTTTTTTTTTATTATTTTGAAAAAGAATTATTACATTGGAGAACATGGAAAAAATAATTTACTACAAATAAGAACATGAATTTTCTATAAATCAATCGCTAAAAAGTTCATAGCTGATTGGTTTTTTTTTTTTTTTTTTGAATAATTCACCGTTAAATTAGATTAACGATTTATCATTATTTAGCAACTTTGTCCTTTTTTGTAGTGTATAATTGATCACATATATTATTCATCTCTGAATATAATTATCAATATATATTTGTTATTTAGTAATAAAATTTATTCGTTGCTAATTTTTATTTTTTAAATGGCATTAAAATATTTGTGGCCAAGCTAATGATAGAATATTCACAACTAAAAAGTTAAAAAAGAGAAATAAAAATCATGACCCATGTGGGAATAAATAAATAGACTGGTGAAAATCCATAAGTGATTCTTCCTTGGATTATACTTAGATATTGTTATGATCATATATTAGTAGAAAAACCTATATATATTCACAACTAGATTATAGTTTAGATTATCATGAAAATTTGCATCATATATAAACACACTTTAATTACTGGAAATTTATGGATTTCCTATGGACATTTTCGTTTGAATACTATTGAAAATTAGCGATTTTCTGATATAGTGTTTCAATGAATATATTTTATGTGAATTCTATTGGAGATACTATCAGAAAATCATTAATTTTTGTCGAAAATCTTTTTCTTTTTTTAAATAAATAAATATAGAATCTGTCAAAATTTGCTCATTAGTGTGATCGTACTAACACTAGTACATCCAATTTCATTAGAACTCCAAAATTAAGTATGTTTAGATGAGAATTGTACTAGGATGGGTGATTCGAAGAAAGTTCTTCTTTAAAGGAAAGCGTTGAAGCAACTATAAAGTTATCGCCGTGTGACCTATATCATAGGTTTGAGCCATGAAAATAACCACTAAAAAAATTCAACATCACATCCCTTAGGGTGTTGCAACCCTTCTCCGTAACCTACTAACTCAAAATGCTTTGTAGAGCGGCCCTTAGATTGTCAAACATGATTAATGTTTTTTGATGATTTTTTCATTAGAAATCCCTTACCAACAAGATAAAAGCTCAACAGGATGTTAGCCAGAATTAGTGAGTTTTTGATAGTAAAATTCAATGAGAAAAACAGATGTTTCTAGTAGTGACTCTATTTATTTTGGAGATAAAGACTACAATTTGGGGAATAATTGTCCCCACAAATATGCCTTCCTTTTTTTTTTTTCCAAGCATAGAATATAAAATAATGCATTTTTACTTGCACTAACTAAACAAAGGCATTTCTCCTTTTGTATTATAAAAAATAAATAAATTGATGAGACTATATATAATATAATTTATTTATTTTTCATGCCAAGAGAATCCCAAAAAGTTTCATAAAAAATCACCATTGAGACCTTTCAATTGTCTACAAGGTCAACTATGACTATTTCTTCAAGATATATTATTATTCAATTGCTTAAAAAACCTGTTTATAATATCTCTTCGTGTAAAAAATACGTTATATTTCTAAATTTATAATAGTATATTACTGTCGAAGTGTATATGAAGTAGCAATACAAATCTAATGTAACATGTGAGTAAGTAAATATATGACCGACTTATGAATACAAAGAAATAAAAAAGATTGATTCAATTAATCAAAAGTTAAATATACTTAGTAAGATATCGCATGAAATATAATTAAATTTTATTAATAATAAAGAAATTAAAAAGTTATTAATTTGTTTTTAAGCTATGTTTTTTTAGCATGGTAAGGGGTGGGAGAGATGATTGATGATACCATACATTCTGATTCATTTCAGTTTCTAAAACTTTCTCCACTAAATAGGGGACCAAAAAAGGGATATATAATTATTTGGAATATATAAAATTATTGGATCATTGATATATGGACGTATTATTTAGAGATAGAAAAGAATAATAGTACATAGTTTTCAATTTTTTAATCAAGAATCTTTTACTAATGTTTAAGGAAATAAACATCTCCTATCTTTTGATTTAATCATTTGATATCTGAAATTTATTGATTAAATTAATTAAATCGTACTAAATAGATCCACTAAGGGAAATATTTTTACCAGAAATTTATTCTACACTCGTGACTTGAAACTAAAACGATTCTCTAATTAATGAAAGAGGAATCTCAATTATCTCATCCGAGAATAGCGAAGAACTTTTAATTGAAGAAACAAAAACTAAATAATAGATGTACATATGTTATTGCTCTTAAGTCTTTATCTTTCAATATATTTTTCTCCTTTTCCATATCTTTTCTTTTCCTTTTTTATTTCTTATCTGATTTTTGATATTACATTTTATTGTATGTAATTTTCTTAATAGGCATTCTGTTTGGACGTTGTCATTTAATTTAATTTGTATCCACTTTTCAAAATTTATTTAACTAATATTCACTTTTGGCATGGTTTAGATAAAATTCAGGGACACCTTCGTCCCACCCACCAACACTAGATCGCATCCTTTAAGTGTAATGTAATTTCAACTTGTTAGGTAGAGATTTTAGAAAATACATTTTGTGTTAACATAATTATAAAGGTTTTAGTGACTATTCATATGTGGTTTAATTTCAAAATTGAATTCTCAATTTGTTTACCTACTCCATTATGATCCAATTAACTTTGGAGTAATGGGGAACATAGAACTTGAAATATTCTTTTTGAGAAGACAAATATATTGAGTTAGTTCATGTAGCTCCAACTACAAAGCCAAGAGCAAAGAACTTGGAACAAGAAACAAAAATAATAGTAATAATAATAATTGACTTTTATTAGTGATTGTGATGGAAACGAAATGCATTAGCTACCACTATATATAGAGAGTTATTTTTAATGTTGCTAACAATATATTCAGTATACAAGTAGGGTTTTGATATATTATATGTAAATTTTGTCTTTACTTTTTATAGGGTAAATAAGTTGTGTTTCTGATAGACCGTCCACTCATTTCTACCTTTGTAGGGTAAATAGACTGTTTTCGATAGACCGTCGACTCGAAAAAATATTTTCAAGCAAAAAATTATTTTTAATGTTGACTCTTATACCAAATCCTAACACTCATCTTCTAATCTTTTTCTCTTTGGTTATCCAACTAATTGAAAGAGGAGTTTTTTTTCTATTTTTTTGTAAAAGAAACATTTAAAAGAAGAAAAAAAAGACTACTTTTTCATATATTGTTTTTGTGTATTATGAAGAGGGTGATACATACATATATCAATTTGAAAAAATTATGTCTCATAAGCCTTTCGTATCTACAGATATATAATTAAATGGCGGATTTCACAGGTAGCTAAAAAATGATCAATTAGCTCATAGAGAAATAATAAACATGAAATTGCAAACTAAAATAATAAAAATGAAGTGAATAAAGATGAACAAACAAATATTAATTAACCTTTCACTATTAGTAAGCATTTTCCTAATTTTGATTTAATAGACTTTTTGTGTTGAGTAAATTAATTCGATGTGTTCACCTTAGATACCTAGCAAAGAACGAGCTTGTCACGCCCCAAGCCTACACTCTGGGTGGGACTGGCACTCGAAGACCATTGTTGGCCCCAAGCGAACTATTGGTCTGACTTACTTAACTCAGTGGAAGACTTAAACTCAACAAAGATAAGTTTATATAATAAACTAGAATGTTATAAAGGAACATTCAACTAGCCATTAAGGCAAACTCTAGTCTGAACATGGAATAATGACAATGAAAAGACTAAAGAACTAATATCTGACTGTCTATGAAACCTCTAAAACAACTGAGATGGATGTTGGGACAAACCCCACGACATCCTAATGAACTAACTAGAAAGCAATGAACATAGATCCTCTAGAATGCAAGGAGGCTCACCGACTGACTCTGAACTGCTCACTGGATCAACGATGCGCCGGAATGCCGATCCTAGTTACCTGTGTCTGCATCATAAGACGATGCAGGCCAACTGGCATCAGTACATTGAATGTACGAGTATGCGAGTTGGAAAGCTAAAACAACATAAGCTGGAAAGAGAATCTGAAAGAAACACTTACCTTGGCTTTTCTCAACTCATGAATACTTAACTGAACTCATTTCATTATAAAGCAATTTAAAACAAGTGCAATATAAAGAAAAAGAAAACTGTTTAAAACCTGTTGTCAACTCATAATCATAAAATAAAAATAAAAACATATCATGATCCCTCTCAAAGTCTACTTGTGCAATGCATGAATAAAGTCCCATATCCCCATCCATACTAAGCAGAACCCCTTGAGAAACCAGGCAATTACTGCTGTGGGAGTTTCTCTAACCGACAACCAACACTTAAGAACTATAGTGATGATACAACGTTATTAGCCCCACGCTGCCTGGGCCATCATATGCCTTGCCGTGGTATAGGACCTGAACTACTAAGTGGATCTACTAGTCTATGCGAAAAGGATTCATCTAAAAAGTATGACCCTTTTCTACCCATGATGGCTACATGGTTTATGGAGACTTGAGTTAATGTGAACTCGCATCTCCATATCAGTGCTCAATACTACTCCCAAAAATATAATATTATCTCTTATGTTTAAAAACATACTTATTCTGTGATTTGAGATTATTGCTCAAAAACTTAGCTCAAAGGCTATCTTGGAAATCAAAGTTTCCCCTCTTGCTTAATTATGAAAGCATTTACTCTTTTCTGAAAACTAGCCCGAAGGCTCTTTGGAAATCGAGGTTTTCTTTCTTGTTTAAATGTGAAAACATTTTAAACTCTTTGGGAAGACATAGTCCCCATATACTTTTGAAGAAATGAACTTCAAGCTTTACTCTTTACTGAACTCAAAACTTAAGTCTTAAAACAAAGTTAAAACGCTTGTAAAAGACTTATGAAAGCTTGAAATGAACTTCTCTTACTTGACTCTTGACTTCTCTTGACTTTGATCTTAACTGCTCTTGACTTGACTCTTAACTGATCCTTGAATTGAATTATGGATTCAAGGATTAAGATTTGTGATTGGAAAGATCTCAAGTTGTTTAGGAGTGATTTTAGATAGCTAAACATGAGAAAAGACCGAAAATCAAGATTTAAAGGTAGGTCCGCAACGCGGAGGCATAATTAAATTTTGGTTCCGAAAACGTCTTTTGAGGCAAACACCTCGTGTCAGCTCCACGACTCGAAGTTGAAACTTCAAATCTGGGCACTAGGTGCGCGGCCACCCTCTGATTTCGTCCGACGAAATTTCTTCTTCATTTTCCAAGCCCAATTCACCCAAACTTTTCTCATATTACTTTTAGATACAGATAGATACCCAACAAAAGTACTTAAGAACCTAACTTGAAACGACTCTATAATGCGACGTAACGAACTCAGAAGTTTCTCAATTCATCCCAATTCAAGAACAACCTTCAAATTCAAGAATTCATGCCAAGAACATCAACTTTCAAACTCTTTTAGGATGGATTTCACTGAACTAAACATGTTTGGCGCGTGGGTGAACGAACTCAACGCTATGAGAGACTCACATACCTTGTAGGGATCACCCCCGACGAAATCCACAAGCTAAACTTGACGAACTTGACGATTTCCTCTTCTCTAAAACCCTAACACTTTTCCAAAAGCGTAAAACTGACAAGGTTCAGTTTAGACCCTTAATTAATTCACTAAAACGAATTTAATTAATTGGATAAGGAAAAGACTGAAATACCCTTCAAAATCCGGATTGGACATTTCCTTATTTGAACAGCCCAGCTTCCAATGGGCTTATCTCACTCATACGAACTCGGATTCACGCAATCTTGGCGGCGTTGGAAAGATCGTTCCAAAAGGTTTCCAACCATGTCTGGAAATACATCTAAATCATCCTGAGGTAAGAGTTATGGTCGTTTGAAGTTGACGAAAAACTCACTTTAACTTCCTTAAAATTTTCCAGATTTCCTTATACTTTCCAAAAATAACTTTTTCCAGATTTTAAACTTCCTTCTAGTTCTTTCTAGTTGCGAGATGTTACAGAGCTGGAGAAAAAAAAAAGTCATGAAAAATATTTTCCCCTCTTAAAAAATTGAAGTATCGGAAGACATACAAAACCACCTCATTATTATATATTATAAGCACGAGTTTAAGTTTCTATATATTGACAGTATATTAAAACAAAATACTTAAATAACATAATCAGGTTATTTAAAAAAGTAATTGTAGATAACTTTATTTAATACATATTCATTTTGATAACCTACAACAACTGGTAAGTAACCTGCTATAAGAGGTTAAATTACATTAACATAATATCAAAATTCATTGCACTTTTTGTGCACACAACTTAAATCCTACCTGTCAATATCTTATGGTTCATGACCATTTGATAGTGTAAAAACTTCTTTACACTATCGATATATATAAGCTAAACTCTATTGAGATAGTTTGACTTTAGATTCAATTTTCTTAAGATAAACTAATATCTTCAGGCAATAATTCGAGTTCCTTAAATACTTCATCGCATTCTGATGAAGCTTCTTTCTTCAGGAAGAATAGAGGGTTCGCGTGGCGAGTAGTATCAGCAATACCATTGTTGTTTGTGATGGTGATTCTTGCAGCTTCCTGTGCATTACTTTCATGTGGTATCTCAGTACAATCATCCATGGTGCTCTTCTTGAGCATCATCTCACAGATCTCATCCTCGTGGTCGCGTTCCACGAGGAGTTCATAGAAACCATGCTCATCGGTTTTACCTTCTACTGTCGCGGTGATAGTATCAGTTGTTTGGTTCCTACATTGTAATTGTACCTCGGCACCTGCATGCATGCATGATATTTAAGTAAATTGAACGAATATACTATCTGTTAAAGAATGACAAAAGTCACACATCGGTGGTTAATGAGATGGGTGGACTCCTTATAAAGCTTGGGCAATCCTCCTCCCTTTGAACTAGCTTTTGGGGTGTGAGTTAAGCCTAAGACCTAATTTAACATGGTATCCGAGCAGGGCCCGTCTCACCCGATGTTGGGGCCCCCAAAATCAAAATTGCCCACGCACCAGATGCTAAGCATTGGGCGTGAGGTGGGGTGTTAAAGAATCTCAAAAGTCCCACATCGGTGGTTAATGAGATGGGTGGACTCCTTATAAGGCTTGGGTAATCCTCCTCCCTTTGAGCTAGCTTTTGGGGTGTGAGTTAGGCCTAAGACCTAATTTAATACTATCTCTAATTTTTAAAGCTTTTTAAAAATAAACCGTTAAATAATTTAGATAATATCAGAGCAGGTAATAGTCCTATATCGGATTCTCAAGAAATACATAATATATTTGAAGGATTTGACCTATATATGATGACATATTTTTTAATCTAACAATATAACATAAGGCAAAAGTACATATCAAACTATTTTTGTAAATCTTATAATCCCAAAGCATATAGATCTAATAAATTGGTCAAACACTCAAATCAAAATTGTTACATGTATGCAACCACCAAATAATTACAAATTATGTTGATAATAATGATAAACAAGACATCATCTTTTCATAACTTTGGAAAAATATTTTAATAAAAATTTATTACACTAACGATGTATACCTGACATGGGCTTGCTAAGCCGATTTTCGAATTGAGTGCGACAAACGTCACAATACACTTTTCCATCTACCTTGAAATGAGTTTGACTCTGAGTTGGAGTTTCAGCCTCAGCCTGAATTACCCCAAAGAGGGAAAACAAACAAATTACACTGATAATTAGAATAATTTCACTTGATTTTGTCATATTTTTTTCTTGTTTTATTCTTTCTATGTTTTTGTATGTTGTAATTTTTTTAAAGAGGAAAGTGAGTGGAATGTGTAATTGAGGGGTTGATTTATATTTTGCATTTTCAGTTATTGTTGTGAGGTTATCATGTTCTTTTGGTCTTTATGTGGTTACAAGTAATTTTATTTTACTTATATTGAATAATTTTTGGTAATTGAGAAGTTCCTCCTATTTTCACTCATCTACATGGTTTCTAAGGTTGAATTGTGTGTCAAATGGACGAATTTGTTCTAGATTGAATGGATCAAACTTGACAGGTGGTTTCTTTCGTATCAAGAGTGTGTTGGAGAGGTGAGAAAAGATAGATTGAATAAATGGTCGGATTTGGTCTTTGATTGAATGAATTAACCATGTTAAATGGACCAACGAGTCATAATTATAGTCGTCCATATTTCATATATTCAAGAAAAATGCAATGCATATGGTCAAATATCTTAAATAAAAAATCATAATCTAACATGTTAAATTCAGATAAAACATGATAGCTATATTTTTAACTCATCAAGTCTTACAACTTCTGTCAAGATAGACTATCAATATCACAATCCTTCGGGTCCTTTCCAAGACTCAGCGTAAACGTGTAATGATTCATGCACCGAATTGCCCTTTCACCATCACAAACTTGAATTATATCATATATTTAATTTCACCCTCAAAACTAAACTTTATTAGCTAATATTGCATTAATGTTTAGTTGAGTCTACTTTTTAAATCCAAGGAACCTTGATATTTCATGGTTTAAGTATGTGATAAATCCATGACAAGCCTTTTATCAATTGAAATGGAATTGTCATCTTATTCTTGGGTAATGCATCACGTAAATTAAAAGGCATCGCAATGCACAAAGCATCCCGCACAGGGTCCAAAGAAAGGTGCACTGTGCACTCCAAAAGAGGTGTGATGTAGCAACCTATCCTGATGCAAACTTTGATTCCATGGCTCGAACCCATGACCTGTAGGTTATATAAAAACAACTTTACTATTGCTCCAAAGCTCTCATTCCACGGAACGACAGTGAGGAGACAGTGAGACAGAGACAAAAACTGAAGACTGGTACAAAGTAAAATCAGTAGCTTTGGTGGCTTATACAATGTTGATTTCTTTGTATTCTCCATTAAGTTTTGTCTCTTTACATGCAGATACCATATTATAAATTCAGTTCCCTCAATGAGATAAGCATAACAGCAACAAAAAGTCATTAAAAGAAAAGCAAGTCATGGCAGAAAAGGAAGGAGCAATTGTCAAGAAGGGTCATGAGGAAGGCTTGAAAATGGCCCTTTCCCTTCTTGAAGAATATCAACTCCCAGCAGGGCTTCTCCCTCTGGCTGATGTGATCGAAGTCGGGTTCGTGAAGACCACCGGGTACATGTGGATCCTGCAAACTAAAAAAGTTGAACATAACTTCAAGATGATTAGTAAGCTGGTTAGTTATGGTGCTGAAATAACTGGATACGTCGAGAAGAAGAGGATCAAGAAGCTCAAGGGAGTGAAGGCTAAGGAACTGATGCTATGGCCTCCAGTTGGTGACATCTCAGTCGACGACTCTCCTACTGGCAAGATTCACTTCAAGAGTCTTGCTGGCATTACAAAAACTTTCCCAGTTGAGGCTTTTGCAGCTGGACAGTAACCGGAGAAAGCGTATCTTCAGATTTATATGTTTTTGTCTGCACCTGTTTTGCTTTCTTCTTACACTTGAACCTGTTTGATAGTCAACTCCATGTTGAGCCAAATAAGAAATTGTTGTTAGATGTTTTTTCATGAAAGAAATGATGAAAGATACATTTTGTGTAACTAAGTTTCTTTGTTTACAATCAAAAACAAAACAACAACATATCCAGTGTAATTCCACAAGTGGGGTATGGGGAGGGGTAGAGTGTATGCAGAATTTACCCGAGCTTGGGAGGTTTGTTTACAAACATCAGCAAGTAACATTTGTTTCTGCTCTGAAAGCTGAAATCACACAAAGTTGCACAAAGTGACAGGAATTCTAGATAAAAACAAGCACGATAGAAGGAGGTAGAGGTATTCTTTTCATCCATCCCGTCAATGCATCCTGCAGTTGTCAAATTAAATTAATGCTTACTGAAAAACCAAATTTATTGCAACTTGAATGCGAACCTTACCTCAAATTTGCTGAAACGCCATCATTGTCCACAAAGTTTCTTGATTTTCCTTTTATCAAGTAAACGTATATTCATTCATACACATAGTCAAAGGCCTGGTCGTATACAAAGAATGCACAGAAGGTAAAGAATGTATAACAAAATCTGATTCTCTATAAAATCCACCCAATCTTCTATACAACTTGGAACTCTTAAAAAATAAAGAAGGGGATCAAAGGTTACTTCTCAATTGAGAAAAGCTCGACTCTACCCCTTCAAAAGGTCTCATATTTCTCTCTCTCTCTACACCACCCACATTAATACTGCATCTTCTCCTCCTTAATTCCACTTTTCGAACTGAACATCAATTCATTGCATAGCCCAAGAAGTACCACATCATTCAAACATATCCCACCATAACTGATGGAAAGACCACAATGAAAAAGAACTACATGACTACATCCTCTCCCGACTCCATGCACAAATAACACCAGCTGACGCAGACAACCTTCTGCCTTCTATAATTTTCCGTTGTCAAGATATCATCCCTCTAGTAGCTAGCCAAGTGAAAAACCACACCTTCATCGGCACTTTGGATAGGTAAACTGAGTCAAAACTTCCTCTTCCTAACCAAAAGTTTCTCAAAATAAGACTAAACCAAGAACATACTATTCTTCCCCATCCCCCACCACAAGGTATCGGGAATATCAACTAAAAATGAATTGGTATTGATCACTGCAGATCCTTCTTTTGTCTTTAAGGCAGGAGAATGACTACTACAGACAACTAAATAGACCGAATAATTTTGAGATATGATAAAAGCTAATTATATGTCCTCGTGTACAAAATTGTGGAACAAGCTCAACAGAAAATTGCAAGAGTAAAGATAATATGAAGTCTAATAGCACAACAGCTACAGAGCTTTAATTGTCCGTATCTTGCATAAATTTCTGGAAGGGAAGCCTTGGAGCAATGGTAAAATTGTCTCCATGTGACCTTTAAGTCACGAGTTCGAGATGTGGAAGCAGCTACTAATGTTAGCACTAGAGTAGATTGTCTACATCACAACCCTTAGGGTACGGCCCTTCCCCAGACCCTGCTAACACGGAATGCTTTGTGCACTGAACTGCCCTTTTTTATCTTGAATAACTTTCTTGGATCTCCAGGGGACTCTCCCCTACCCAAAGTGAACAATTCTACAACTATATATACCTCAAGTCACTTTGAAGATATAAAGAACTTCTTTTTCTTTTGAAAATATAAAGAGATTTACTCAATGCTGCAAATGCTGGTAGGAAGTTCTCTGTCTACAAGAACTAGGATTGGATGTATAAACATTCAGCATTTATTAATGAATTGTTCAGCATTTGCTTCATTTTGTTAATCAAACATACACATCTCATCTCTTACTTCTTTAAATAAATGTCCAATAAAGATTGCGACAAATTATCAGAAGAGCTGCTGCCTAAAAAAGTGTTGGATTTCCTGAAATTATAATTCCCTGCAATCTTGACACTCTGAGTTCCCCTTTGGTAGCAGAAAAGCAATGATCCTAATCGGCGGAAGATAGACAAATAATTGTTCTACAAATAAACCCTTTCAACTTGACATAAAAAATGTCATTATTTACTATCTATGGCCCCTCAAATCACCATAGTATTCAGCATGAAAAGGTGTTGCATAGAAACTTAAAAAATGACTACCTATCAAAAAGAAATTAACAGTATAACTAGAAGCCAATAAGGAAACCGTAATGAACTAGATCTAAGACGAGGAACCTTCATGCGTTCCAGGAAAATAATTTCTCTGTTCCACATTTCTGAGTCCTAAGATCAAGATAGTTTTTTTTTTTTTTTCATAACTGAGAAATTCTTCTGTGACCCGCCCTTTGGACCAATCACAACCTTCTAAACTCAGTGGATAATTGGCCCGCCCCTCTACCCTTCTCCACTTAAATATCAGGCTTTGCTTTACATGGTGTGGGGCTTGAACCTGCAACCTAAGCCACAAATCCTCCACCTTTTGCCACTTGAGCTAGGCCTTGGGGTCTAAGATCAAGATAGTTTAAAAGAAAGAACTTTCCACTATGACTGAAAATGAAAATGTGCTCGGAGAAACAAAAATAAAAAGACAGTTGTTAAAGGTTCAAGATAGGACCCAAAGAAACATATGTTTAAATTCCACCAGTATCTCTCTCATTATAGCAAAAGTATGGAACTCAGCAAATCTACAGATTGAAAATATTAACAAAAGTTCCCCTATACTCTAGCAGGATCGGTCAAAGAAACATACATAATTTTTCTCTGCAATAGTTTTACATAAACTGACAATGGTTTGAGCTGACCGGTTAGATCTTCAATAGTTGAAAACATGCAAGTCCATCAGGGTCTTATAATACCCCTTTTCTATCTCCACTTCTTCCACCTGATGAAGCAGAAGGGTTTCAATAATGAAATCCTCCCAATCAACATCAAATTTCATTTTCTTTCTCCTTCTCTTTCCAGCATTTACGTGTTCGAGGGAGCCTACATCAATCGTATCAATTGAACTAGCATCCGAAGGATACATTGTCTTATGGATTCGATACTTTGCAGCCTTTATCTTCTCTTTTCTCCTTTCATATGCCAAGCAACCCCTATCAAAAGAAGGAGGCATAACACTAAAGCCCACATCTTTCTCCACTATTTGCTTCACTAAAAGCTTTTTGCTCATTTCTGATTCACCCTTCCACCAATCTGTGTATGAAAGCATGCCATACCTTCTCTTCCTTTTCCTAATGCTATTATCTCTGCTATTTGTCGACTCCTGTACATACATTTCATTCTTCATCTTCGAATAAATCATTGCCAAACACTCTTGGGAAATTTGGAATCTATTTGGACCTTCAATACTCAACCTTGTAGAGTGATCTATCTGAAAGTACTGCGAGTCATTTACGGTGTCGTCAGCATCTAAAGCATAGTCATTTCCGTTGCTCAAACAATCATCAATCAAATAATCCAGATCAAACCCAACATCCTCAAAATTCTTATTTTTATTTCTATTCTTCGACATTGACTTCAACTCCATGTATTGAATAACAAAAGTCGCATGCTTCATAATATTCTTAACCGTAACATCCTCACCCCAAGGCAAACCTCGAGCAACCTTTACAAGTCTCTCTAAAAGCTCCTTATACCTCAACCTACAAGTAACAACCGCCACTTGCAACTCATTCGCCACATCCTCAATCACCACATCAACTTGATTCAACTGTGCAACAAACACCAAAACTGCTGCCACAACAGGCAACGGTCTCCTCCCTGTTGTCACATACCACTTCACCAAACACTGCACCAAAAAAACACCCTGTTTCAACATCCTCCCAATCAAATCCTCAGAAACCTCACTAAAACTCGGAGCATTCCTAATAGAATGCTCGAACGAATCAACAATATCAAATTCAGGCAACTTCAAATCAAGAAAATCAACAACCCGATAAACCATCCTACCCAATTCATAAATATCACAACACACTATATTTGCTACCGTAACAATAGCCAACGGCTTCCCATCTATCCTCATAACAATACAAGCACAAGCCCCTATTAATACAGTAAACCATCTACCCTGGCCGTATTCGCCGTTAGTAACTTTCACTACCATATCCTTAACTTCACTAGATTTCGAGCTCGAAAATCCTAATTGGTACATTAAATCTTCGATTTCTTTCTGGGCGTTGTAAATTTTTGTTTCGTTGTAGTTATAAACAGTTCCGGTACCGGCGGTGCCGGTGCGGACTTGTGTTCCGGTTGGACCACTGATTCCACCGATTTGGGCATCATAATTATCGTAATCTTGTAAAACTCCACATGATAAACAAACGGCATTACCTGTTGTATCATCTGAACCGATTGTACGCTTTTGACAATTCTTGCAGGAACGAGAATTATCCATGGATGAACCGAGAAGATTCAGCTCAATTTTTTTGAGCTAGGTTTTTTTTTTTTGTTGATGATAAATTAGGAAGGGGGATTAGGGGAAACCCGAATACATTACATGAGGCCCAAATCAATTAACGGCCCATCCGGACAAGGCTCGCGAACAAAAAAAGCATAATACATAAACGTGATGTTTGACATACGCATTCAATATGTTATATTATGCGTCATATGTGATATTATATAAATTTATTTGAGTGTATCTCATGCGAATTGTCATATAAAATGTATATGTCTATTAGTTCAATTTTATACATTTTAAATGTTTGTCTTGTGCACATTCAAAGTTAGAGGATATAGATAGTAATTGAAACTAATTGTGTGTTTACTATTTGCCAAGCAATGGTGAAGAAAGAAAAAACGACTCGGTCTCAACTGATATCAGAATCAAAGTGATGAATTTGATTTTTAAGAGCAACATCCTGCATGAGGATAGGTGTTAGGAGGGGCAGAGTTGCTCGGTAATGTTAATATCTTGTTTATGGCAAAACTCACAAAAGAAGTGGGTGGTCCGGATCGTAGTTATGATTGAACATAATGCTCTTTTGATGAACTTAGATAATAAATAAAGTAACGCTATTGCTATATTAATTGGACCCCCTTCTCTTCTTTTTTTCCAGTTTTGCTTGCATTATTAATTATTGTCTACTCTCTTTGTGTCATATTATTTGTTCACATCACTAAAAATATATTTACCAAATTACTAATCAATTTATAAATTAAGCTAAGATTAATTTAAATTTTTTAGTTTTGTCCTTCAAATTATTATTTTTTAAAGTATAAATATTGTAAGTTTTTTTTAAAAAAAGTTCCTACATTGTTAATTTTGGTATAATGGATAAGATACATAAATAGAGTATATTAAAAAAAGAAATACACGTTTTATTTGTAATTTTTAAAAAGGTGTGTAACGGAGAAAGTGCACAAATCATATAGAAAAGAGAGAGTAACATTGTTTTAATTACTCATGTTAAATACTATATAATTCTATTAGTATATGAAAATTACTATAAGTCGTAATTTGAAACATCGATATGGTAAAAGTATATATATCTTAAGTATAGTTGATAACTTTTTTTTATATAGTTTAACTCTCGAAAAGTGAAACATGACAAGTGTTAGGGGACGGATTGAGTAATTTCACTAGTCTAGGTAATGTAAGTGTCCCTTTGTGCCACTCTTATGCGACATTGTATAGCCTTCTACTTGTAATTAAGATAATATATCATCTACTTTCTACCAAAAAAAAAGAAAAAAGAAAAAAAGAGTGGACATAAAAGATTAAATATATTTAAAAAATTAAATCCAACATATTAATTAAAAAGAAAATAGAAAACAAACTTCCATATATATTGCCTAAAAAAAATTTAATTAAAAAAAGTGTTGCCTCTTTGTTTGCACTTTGTAATGCGTTCTTTTCTGTTTGAAGAAATATTCACATCTATTTTCTTGATTTGTTTTTGTTGTATTGTGTGGATATGCTTTAAAAAATAATAACTCAAAGAACCATAAAAATAGGTCTATAAATACCCAAGAAATATTTATTCATTAAAAAAATATTGGAAAATTTTAAGTGTTAAATTATGGCTTATATGTTTAATTGTAGTTACATTTTTGCTACTTTACTAGTATTGAATTTGTGGATGATTCAAGCTACCTCTCGTACTTTATACGAATCATCAATGGTTGAAAAACATGAAGAATGGATGGCTAAGTATGGACGTGAATACAAAGATGAAATAGAAAAGGCAGAGAGGTTCAAGGTATTCAAACAAAATTTCGAGTATATTGAGTCGATAAATAAAAATGGAACACGATCGTATAAATTAGGCATCAATGAATTTGCTGATCGTAGAAAAGAGGAATTTAAGTCTATTCGTAATGGTTACAAAATATCATCTAAGAAACAAATAAAAACTACGTCTTTTCAATATGAAAATGCCTCATCTCCATTTATGGTAGATTGGAGGAAAAAAGGTGCGGTCACTAGGATTAAAGACCAAGGGCAATGTGGTAAGTTATCAAACAAATCAATTTTCTTAATAATTCGCGATACAAAATTGGACTAAGTTATTTTATAGTAACACCTTTTTCGCGTTTTACACTATTATGTGAATGATTTTACAGGATGTTGTTGGGCATTTTCCGCTGTGGCTGCTATAGAAGGACTTAACAAGATTAAAACGGGTAAAGTGATTTCATTGTCTGAACAAGAGTTGGTTGATTGTGATATAGGTTCAAATGAGGGTTGTGAAGGAGGTCTAATGGATTATGCTTTTAAATTCATTATAAAAAACAATGGAATTACTTCGGAAAATAGTTATCCTTACAAGGGAATCGATAGTACTTGTAACAAGAAAAAAATATTCAACCAAATCGCGAAAATTAATAGATATGAAGATGTTCCAGGTAATAGTGAATCAGCTTTAGTAAAAGCTATTGCAAATCAACCTATTTCTGTTGCAATTGATGCTGGTGGATCAGATTTTCAATTTTATTCTAGTGGTGTATTCACAGGACATTGTGGAAATGAATTAGATCATGGTGTTACTGCAGTTGGTTATGGAGTAACTATAGGTGGTACTAAATATTGGCTCGTTAAGAACTCATGGGGAACTAGTTGGGGCGAAAATGGATACATTAGAATGTTAAGAAATGTTAATGTTAAGGGAGGACTATGTGGGATTGCCATGCAAGCTTCTTACCCAATCGCTTAAATTTTTCACAGATACGATACTTTTATCTTTAATTAATCGAGTAGTCGACCATGTATGTGGTTTAATTCGGAGTATTATATTATTTGTATGCAAATGTAGTGATGGAACTTGTCCAATGTAAAACAAGATTCAATATTGAGAAATGAAAGACATTCTTTTTGACGAAATATATAGATATATAGTTTCTTAAAATTGTAGCAAAGTATTTGTTATAATCAGATATTTCATGTGTATAATCTATCCTCCACGTACGTAGTGTATCTTTATAAGCAATTACACTATAATATGATTGAAAAACCAAAATCAAAGTATGTTTTAATTCAGACATGAAGGAGGGTCAAGCTTTAGAAGACTTGCGTTCATTTTGATTTCAAGAGAAGTTCACATCTATAGTCTACTAGATTTGCTTATTAAGTTTAAGTTTTATATACCGTCGGCGCAAATAACTCTTTTACGTCGACTATCAGGTCATTTAAATGATATTTTTACGTAATTATCCTTAAAATAAGATCTTAAAATTAAATATGTTATTTGCTACAACGGGTAAATATAATTTAATAGTAAAATATGTTATTTTCTACAACGGGTAAAAATAATTTAATAGTGTGTAAAGATTGTTCACACGGACAACACATAATACTTAAACTCTTGTTTATTTTGTAGTGCGTGTAAATATTGTTCACACGGATAGAACAACTTCTTTTCTCATCAAAACAACACACAAGTTCTTTCGCTTGAATTGGTTGAATGACTTTGTAGGTGAAATGACCAGAATTGACTGACTTTAGTGTCACACAATAAAGATGAGTGACTTTGTGAGATAATTATATCATTAATTGTATAACTTTTATGTTACGAAACAAAATCAAATGACTTTTAATTGAACGATCATATGATAAATATGATTAACTCCTCAAATATTCAACTTCTTTTCTCTTCAAAACAACATATATAGTACTACAATTATTATGTATACGTAATACAAGGACTTTTAATTTGACTTAGTACAACATTAACCAAACAAGCACTAAAGATCATGTGCTATTAATTTAAACCAAATTTTCTAAACAATAGGATATGAAGCCATAGTAGCTATCCTACAAAGACCATCATTATTTCCAATATCTCTAGCAATTTTCATATAACCATTTTCACCCCAACTAGACCCCCATGAATTCTTAATTATCCAATACTTTGCACCATTTTCATTATTTGTACCATAACCAATTATTGTAACTGCATGATTAACTTCATCACCACAATTTCCATCATAAACTCCACTTTGGTATGACATAAACTCTTTATTCACCGCGATACCCACCGATACAGGTTGTCGCGCCACCGCGGTAAGTAACGTTGGTTCACTTGATGGAGGTAACATTTCGTAGCTACTCATTTTTACTATCGAGTCTTGTATTTTGCATGAATCTTGATTTTCTTCGTAAGGGTAATCGGATTCTGCTGCGATACCATTATTTTTTACGATGTAATCGTAGGCCATGGTTATTAATCCGCCGTTACAACCGTGGTTTTCGGTTGAACAATCTAGTAATTGTTGCTCGGAGAGTGAAATTAATTTTCCCGTTGAGAGTTTATTTGCTCCTTCTAAGGCCGCGACCGCGGAAAATGCCCAACAACATCCTATATATTGAATGCAATATGTAAATGAGTTTAAATTTTATAGGCTAACGATAACGATAACGATGTAAAATAAATAGTATACATATATAGTGGCAAGAGATTCATGATATAGACTATAGTATAGGATGATGGATTATTGATATATAATATACCCTAGTGAAAATGGTAATTAACCTACTATATATAATAGGTAAATCATTAGTGATATAACTTTCTTAGTCTTAATTTATATGATGTACTTTTACTGAAGATGAAGTTTAACCAAAAAAAAAAAGATTTTTAAAAAAAATTTGTGATCTTAAACATAAAATATAGATATTTCTACGACGATAAACCATTTATTAAGAATAAAATAAGAAGTAAAAGCTAGGTAAATTCAAAATATAGAGACATCATTTTTCTGGAACAGACTAAAAAACGTATCATTTTAATTGAGATAGAATGAGAATTTAACAAGAAGAGAATATGAAATCAAAAAAGTACAGAGTATATAAGTATAGTCAAAAGTTTTCTTGAATAGGGAAATTGTGACTTACCACATCGACCTTGATCTTTGATGCTAGTGACAACACCACTCTTTCTCCAATCCATTTCAGATGGAACATCACTTATATTTTCATACTTGAATGATGAAATTGTTGTTGGAGATAATTTTTGAGATTTTATAGAAGAAAACTTATTATTAAGTCCATGATTAGTAGTATAATACCTCAAGAATTCCTCAGAAGTAAGATCAGAAAATTTATTGATGCCTAATTTATATGACCTACTACCATTATTGTTGAATGACTCAATAAATTTGACGTTCTTCTTGAAAATATTCAATCTTTTCGCCTTTTCTATATCATTTTCGTAAGTTCTTCCATGTCGCGCCATCCACGACTCGTGTTTTTCCAACATGGAGGATGAATCTTGAAGGTTTCTACAAGTGACTTGAGATGCATACATCCCAAAAATCACAAAGAGAAGGGTGAATTGTGTTTTCCATGCAAGAACCAAAGCCATAATTACAAGAAAATACTTAGGTAAAATAATTGTTTTTTTTTTGTTATTGTAATAAGATATATTGATTGAAAGGCTCACAATGATGTCCTTTGGTCTATAGGGGGTTATTTATATGGATGTTAGGATATGGTTTTTTTACGCAAATGTCCTTTTTTAGGTTATTATTTAGATTTTGGTCCCTATTTTGACAAGTCATTGCAAATTTAGCCTTTGAGTCAGGACCGACAAAACATTGACGTGTCGTTTTACGTCTACAAAATTTTAAAATGTAGTATAATATTTTTTTTATAAGACTTTCAGTTTTTGCGAAAGAGATCTTTACATTGTGGTAAAAGGTTTTCTCTAAATATTGAGCTAAAATGATCCAAAAATACTTTTACTATAAGGAGTGATATTGTCTGTTTTAGATCAAGATTGCATTGTTTTCCCTAGAAGGCCGAAGTCCAATTGTCGTGGGTGTATTCAAAGCTACATGTAAATATCATAAACTAGCAAAGACAAGCAAATTAAAGGCACTTAGTCCGGCCTCATGCCACACTCTGTCATTTTCATACTCGTATCCGATGCAAGTAGTTGAGCTAAAATGGTCAAAGAATACTCTAAACATGGTGAAATTTTATTTGCTTTAGATTAAACTCACAGAGACTTCTTCCCTACAAGACCACAAAAGATTAAGAATATTTAACACTATAGTATAATTAAGTAGTTTCTTTTTTCCTTTTCAACTATCAACATGATTTTTTTTAATATTACTTAAAAAAATGAATTCCAAGAAAATGGGTAGGATGTTCACATATATCTATACGGAGATGTGTATTTAACAACCTTTGCAGCATGAAATAGGAAATTAATTTCCTTTAGATTGAGAGCTACTATGGTCCACTTCTATACCTTCATATAAAATCATGAATTTTAAATTCTCTATGATGATAGAGACAAGACATAACTAGTTTCAAACTTTTAAAAAAAAATAATCAATATATCTTCATATATATTGAAATAACTTTTTCATAATCATTATTATTGTAATGACCCGAAAGGTCATTTTGGTAAATTTTCGTGGAAATGACTATTTTGCCCTTTCGGTAGTTGCCCCGAGTCCCATGTTTTGTGGTTGTAAAGTTAGTTGAGGAAAAGTTGGTAAAAAGTTGAGTTTTTGAGAAGTTGAGTTTTTATGAGTTAAAGTTGGTTAAAAAGTGCTTTTTTCGAGTCATTTGGAGTTTCGGGACTCGGATCGGATTTCCGTCGATTCCGGCGGTTTTAGAATGTCGAAACGAGTCTGTGTGAAGTTACGGAGTCGAATTTGGAGTTGAAACGAAGAATTGAGGTCCTAAGTTGCTAAAGTTGTGAAATTTTGATAAAGAGTTGACTTTGGTCAACATATGAGGTTCCGAGGCTCAGATTGAAATTCCGAGAGTACCGTTGGTTTCGGGAGACGATTCTAAGTCTAGAATGAGTCTTGGTTGAATTTTTAGACGCTCCGATTGAGTTTCGAATTTTTTTGGCGTTAAACTAGTTTCTTGGCATCTTATTGAATTTCGGGTCAAGGAGTCCTCGAATTCAAATTCTGACGGTTCCATTGAGTCCGGAACGTCGAATTTAGTGGGGGTACATATTTAGTTTGTGTGCACGAGATTCCGAACGAATCCCGAGGGTCCAACGGGGACTTAAACTTTGGTGTTATTGTTGTGTTTCCGCTGCAATAGCAGTCCTTTTTAAGTCAAAAAACAGTAGCCATTTTCCCCCAACTTGAAAAATACCCATTTCTCCATTTTTAGACTTTGAGAGCTCGAAAATAGGTGATTTCAAGTGGGTTTTCGCAAGGAATTCAATTGGGTAAGTTATTTCCAACTTATATCTTTGATTTCCATCGATTATTTATGGATTTTCACATCAAAATTTGAGATCTCAACTGTAAAATTTGGGGGGTTTTGCCTAATCCGAATTTAATAGAAAATTTGAGTTTGTGAACTCATTTCAACTCCTTTTTCGAAACGGTTTTCACTATTGGATTCTAAATTTCTTGGGGAACATTTTTCACTAAAAATTTCCAAATTTCGAGAATATTTTCCGGAACGAGATTTTTTTGACCATTTTACCCTTTTCTCCAAATTTCACGATATTGGTGTTGTTCGATTCGTATTGATTGTGAGATTCCATTTATGAATAGATTGTGGTGATTTGGAGCGTGCTCGGAAGGGTAAAACTCAAATTTGAGTTACTAGTTGAAGTGTTTTGAGGCAAGTGACTTCTAAACTTTGTTAAACTCTTAGACTACACATGACTACTTTCCTAATTGTGTTGGGGAGTAATGGGGATTGAGGATGAGTTTTATTTGTTGATTGAAATTGTTGTAATTGAAAGATGGGGAATAAAACGAGCTAAATATGTTATATGTGACTTGAATTTGTTGAATAAGTCATGTGATAACTGATATTGAGGAGATAGAAGAGCATGAGTAGGCTATGATTGATACAGACATTGATGTTGAGACAGATGATGTGTAATACTATGATGTGGTCGTGATATGATTGTAATTGAGACAGACGATGTGTAATACTATGATGTGGTCGTGATATGGTTGTGATTGAGACAGATGATGTGTAATACTATGATGTGATCGCGATATGGTTGTGATTGAGACAGATGATGTGTAATACTATGATGTGATCGTGAAATGATTGTGATTGATGACATGTGCATATTCATTATTCATCCCATGTGTGAACTATCTGTTGCATGAGTTCTGAGACACTGATATGAGGATGGATGGATATGAGACACAGTTGAGACTAGCTCCGGCTAGAGATATATGAGATGGACTAGCTCCGGCTAGCGATTTGGATGCCGATGGGATCTGGTTCCGGCGGTGATACATGGTCCATGTGTGGCCCCCATGGGTTCTGATTGAGTATTCAGCGCGGTCTGATTACGTCAACAGATGTGTATCTTCGGACATACATGCATCACGACTACATGACATCATTATTGCATTTACATCGCATTTGACTTCATCTTTGTCTGTGGTGTGTGATTTTTTCCTATTTGCCCCTCTTCATGTGATATATGATCTATTTGCTCTTACATGAGGATATGAGGTTGATGTTGAGACACTGTTAGATATATCTGTTGATTATGAATTGTGTAGTATAGGTTGTTGGTTCGCTGTTAGAATGAAGTTTCGGTGGTTCGGTTGGGATTGAAAGGAGTTGTTTGTAGCTGCTAGTTTAGCTTAGTTTAGTGTTACTTGCGAGTACCTGTTGCTTTTGGTACTCACCCTTGCTTCTACACAGTTGTGTAGGTTGACAGCTCTATCAGATCCGGCTTATTACTCATCTTCATATTAGAGCTTCCAGACTTACTTGAGAGGTAGCGGTTCATTCCAGACGTGCCCTCAAGTTATCTATATTTACTGTTCTGTTCTATTCTAGAACTTTACTATGAGACTTGTATATTTTATTCAAATTCCGTATTAGAGGTTTGTACATGTGACAACCAATTCTGAGGTTATGTTGAGTTTATTTAAAGACTTCTGCTTATCTTTCTATCTTATTCTTGTTTTATAAATTCTGTATCGTCGGGTTTTTGGGTGTTAGGCTGACGTGTCCGGTGGGGTTTGGGCACGTGCCATCACATCTGGTTTTGGGGTGTGACAATTATTAACGAAATTAATATTTATAACATTTAGTGCTTTAGATGCTTATGTTGGGTATAATATTAATTTTATAGCGGGTCAATTTCAACGAGCCTTTCACATTAGTACTATTAGTAATCGACTCCATAGCTTCTTCAATAAACGTCAGATTTTCGATCAAGTTTTAAATTACCTTTGAGTCAGATCGTGCATTTCAAATATGAAGTCTCATGAAAGGTTTAGACAAAGGTACTATTGAGATACGTCAATCATTATGAGTGTTATTCATATTGACAAGTCCAATTGATTTATTGCCTCTCGAGCACAATTATAATCATGCAAGGATTAATGATTGGGATCCATACAGAGTTTTATAAAATATCTATCAAGAAACATATGCTTTCTTCAGAAAATATGAATACTTTATGATAGCTGAAACAAGTCAAATCAAGTTTACATATTAAAATTTTAAATCGATCAAATATCGTCATATAAAAAAAAGCGGAATGACATTAAAACAAAAATTCTCTTGCGCGTAAAATGTAAAATGTGTTTGTGCTATTTGATCAAAGTCCACAAAGAAGTGTAAACAAGTCAGTGTCTTTGTGCCTTTTAATCAACATGAATGTGTAACTTGCTTTTAAGTCAAGTCTTTTTTCTTTTTACTTCATAAAAGTATTACAAAATTTCAAGTTATTTGTTATAACTAAAACATATTACTCTTATTTAGAAGTGAGAGTTGGAAAGGACCAACACAGCTTTAAGGAGTGATACCAAAAGCAGTTCAAGTTGTACTATTGGGTTGGGACTAACACAGCTTTAACAACTGATACCAAAAGCAGTTCAAGTTGTACTAAAAGGACAAACAAAGCAACACGAAATTGTACCAAAAGTTACATAAATTGTACCTTCACTTTGGACCCATTTTATTCCTTTTCTTTTCTTTCCTAGCCACGTGTATGCAGCCTTTTGTTAGGCAGACACGTACAAGCCCAAAAATGTGGGCCCTTCTTTCTGCCTATTTCACATTTTTCTATTCTTCTTTAATTTTTGTTATCCAATTGCCCATTAACAATTCTCATTTCCTTCTTTTATTTGTTCCTCACAGTTTCTTTTTAATTTTTTCCCACTTTATTTCTTCCTTGAAAATTTAACATTTTGAAATTTAATTAATTCATTTATTATATTTTAGCTACAAAATATAGTAGAAAGAAATTAAATTTTCTAAAAAAATTTAGTTGATTCTTAAAATTCTATCATTGTCACATGAATTTAAATAAATAGAATAAAATGTATTATTAAAAATTACATAACAAATACTATAAATTACAATAATTAGCAACTGAAAATATTTTTAAATCATATATGGAAATTTGGTTGGCTAATTAAAATAAAAGAAGTATCTTATATTATTTGAAAATGGCGTCAAAAGTCCTAGAAT